TCTTTAATGCTTGTCCCTGTTTTGTTTTTTTTTTTTTTTTTTTTTTTTTAATTTACACATTATTATTCTGATAGTATAGGTATGCTGGTTTTTCTTCCCCCACATCCTTCTTGGTCTTTTTGTTTTCTTTCTCTTTTTATTGGCATTCTGTGGGAACACAATGTATGTGTTACAATAGGCAACTGCTTAGTCTTATACTTACCCTAGATTAACTTGTTTCTTTAGTTTCAAAGAATTATTTAATTTTATTTATCATTATCATTTTTAAAGAATTATTTTTATTTAACTTTATTTATCTATTTTTAATTTGACCAGAGAGGGCCATAATAAGAGGGAGAGGGGAAGTGAGAAAGCAACCCACCAAGTCTGGGAATTGAACTGCAATCAGCCATGTGGGAGTCCAGTCACCTGCCAGCACCCATTATTTATTTTTTTAAATTTGTTACAGGGCTTATGCACTCACCAAAGAGATACAGAGAAAGAGCAGAAGAGAGAAAGAGGGAGAGTGAGAAAGCAAGCCACCAGGTCCAGGACTTGAACCATATGGGAGGTCCAGGCCACCTGCCAGGCCCACCCTAGATTAACTTGTATCACACTAAACTTTCTTGCATGTTCATGAAACATTTATGTGAAATTGAGAGATTACTTTCAAAAGAACACACTTTGGAAATCACACTGCTTCAGGGGCCAGATGGTGGTGCTGTGGTAACATAACTAGAGCTCAGGTTTGTGCCTCCAGGTGTCTGTGCATTCAAGATGCACATGGTGCATGCACAGGGTTTCTCTGTATAACCCTGGCTGGCTGAGGCCAAGGCTGAGGCTGAGGCTGGATCACTGTGTGAGGACTCTGTTGAGTCTCGGTCTCTCAAGAAAGAAATGAACTTAAAAAAAGAGAAAGAAACAAGAAATGTTCCTTCCTTCCTTCCTTCCTTTTTTTAAAGTTTTTTGCTATAAGGCATGTGTGCTCACTGGAGAGACAGAGAGAAAGAAGGAAAGTGAGATATCACCTCCCAGGGAGTACGGCTTTACCACAGTCCCCTCTCCTCCATATTGTTCTCTGGATTTTGACACGGCACACTCATATACATAACATGTTTTTCAAGTCTAGGTCTTGAACATAGTCGGCCATGTGAGCTCCACCTTGCCACCTACTGGCCCTCTTATACATGTTAATAGGTCTTATCAATAATTAGGTCTATAATCCTACAGAATAATAATATCAGCACTATTTCTGGGTTATGAGGCTCAAAAACATATATTATAAATGAAGATGTTTCCAAACATCTAAATGCTTTGCAAATAAATGTTCACATGTTCACAGTAATAGAAGGAGATCTATGAATTCCAAATACTAATATTCCACATGGGCTACAATCACTTTTCTGTTGGATACTGTATACACAGTTGGCACTCAAAATTACTACTTTACATTCAGGTGTGAGGGAGACTGACAGTAAGTCACATTAACAAAGATCTCATTTCTTTTTCTTTCTTTCTTTTTTTTTTAATAGCTTATTTTTTAAACCTAGTTTAAATCTATTATTGTATTAAATAAAGAATCTAAGAACTAACTGTTTTTTAGGTAGCATCAACCCACTAACTAAAGAAATTCTAGGGCTAGCCCTGTGAACAGTGGTTAGTGCAATACATCAAGAGCCAGATCTCACATTGTCATGCACAGTTCAAATCCTTGCCCTGGAAGCTTAAAAAAATATGCTGAACACAATACATACCTGCCCTTCAAAATCCTGACAGGATGGAGAAATGTAGGAAAAATTGTGGCACTAACATGCCTCAATGGAGGGTGCTTCCTCCCTCCTCCAAAACAAGTACATGTCCCCTTTGACAATTAAAAAAATTATTTTTAAATATTCTATTAAAACATCACTTTAAAAACGTCAAAATAGGTCCAGTCATGGTAGCACATAATGGGAGCTGCCACCTGGTAGGCTGGAGCCACCTGGGAGGCTTGGGTTGGATTCCCAGCCCACCCTGAAAAGCTGAGAGTGTGGTGGGACATGCCTACAGTCCAAGCAACTTGGAGACAGGAGGATCGGAGGATCGTGAGCTTATGGCCAGCATGGGCAAGACCTGTCTGAAAAAGCCAGGAATAGCAGAATACATCTGAGATCCCAACTACTCAGGAAGGTTGCAGAAGGATCATGACAGAGCAAGATGTTGTCTAAAATAAAATTAAATAAACAAACTTTAAAAATATATACCTTGACCGGTGGTGTAGAACATGGGGAAGGAGGCATCACACAGGTTTCTTGACTATTATAGGAAGGGCTGTCACTCAAGTTTAGATAGAACTCATCTTCACTGGTGGAGCTCCCTTGACTGTCCACTTCTGGAGAGATGCAGATTACTATGGCACTGGTGTTATCTGCTCGGAGCATACGCTGCCTCCAGCGGCCTAGTGCTCGATTCACCAGCATTTTGGCACAAGATTGTCCATGCTCACCCTGTATTTAAAAGAACAAGGAGAGGGAAACTAACAACTCAGATTTAGTTGCTTCTACATCTGTACCAAACTAACAGTTGGCCAAAATTAGTGAAGCTCCCAATTTTCAAATATTATCCACAATTCCCATACCTATGTTAAAATAGTACTCCTTACAAGTTTAAAAAAAATCATAAAATTTGGCTTGGTTAAAATTCATTTGTATCCCCCCACCCCTTCCTTTATAAGAGAGAGGGAGAACATGAGTGAAAGGGACAG